AAATTTGTGAAACTAACCTCCGGCAAACAAGCATAATTCGTAATTAAATGTTAAAGGATCGGAACGGATCGGATCGGATCGGAGGACAAGCAAGCGCACAGTGAGAAGATAACTAAACCACAAGCAACAACATTTTCTACATTTTTGCACTAAAATAGAGCTACTCAACTCACCAGAACAACATGTAACATACTGAATCTGAATCTGAATCTATATTCTTTTTGATTACATTTACATATACATATATACGGCACTTACCGATTAATTAATTGTTGTACTTGAATCCCCGTCGAAATTCTAGATAATTGTGGTGTAATTGAAATGTGTGTTTTAGTTTATCTTAATTAATCTAATCTAACTAAATATAAATATATACTTACATATACCACATAATGTGACATGAAGTAAACAACAAACAAACGTGTTAATCTGTGTTTTAGCCAAGTAAGCAAACAGCTAATAGCCATTAGCCATTAGCCGCAGGTCCAACTTTTCCCTCTCCTTTGCAGTCGGAAATATGGGCGCTTCAAGATCAACATTCGGCCGGGCACGGGCTGCAAGAAAAAAATATGAATATATCCAGAAATCAATATGCAAATTGTATGTAACCAAAACAAAGCATGTAATCTGAATTTAACAATTTTCAAAGTGAATAAATAATAAAGCGAAAAGTAGCTGAATACACTAAACATACTCAAAGGAAGCGCGCTAGTTTTAAATCAGACAGCTTTTGGTATGCCTAGGAATATTTTCCCGCCCTGATGTTTGTTGTCTTACATGTAAAATTTGTCTCAATTGAAGGTAGATGTCGCTATAAGCATGTAGAAAGTCAAGGTAAGTTCATGTAGAAATTGCACTAAAAATATTGTTTTTGTAAATTATTGTTGTTGTACAACAAAAATTGTTGTTGTTGTTGTTGTAATTTGTTGTCAAATAATTGTTGTTGTTGTTGTAGACTATACCGAGCCTTCAGTTTGCCCGATTTCAGTACAAAATCGTCCGTTTTAGGATCTCAGGTACCAGGCGAACAGAAAGCAGCAGCAAGCGACTGAATTTTTGAGCCAAGGGCTACCAGATCGACGGCATATGCGATCGATCCGGCAGCTCTGGCGCCAAATTTCGGGTCAAGGGTTGCCGGATCGATGGAACAGTACCTATCTGGCAACGCTAAGATTCAAATCTCGCGCCAAGCGTTGCCGGATCGTCTGCGCATGCGATCGATCTGGCAGCCTTGGCTCAAAAATTCAGTCGCTTGCTGCTGCTTTCTGTTCGCCTGGTACCTGAGATCCTAAAACGGACGATTTTGTACTGAAATCGGGCCAATCGAAGTCTCGCTATAGCCTACAACAACAACAAACATTATTTGACAACAACATACAACAACAACAACAATTTTTTTTTACAACAACAACATACAAAAACAAATTTATTTGGCGGCAACTGACCGATTTAAATTTGAATTTAAATTTGGCGGTTTCTTTGTATTGCGGGAACTGATCGTCGTGTCAAATTCAAATGTATGTATGTATGGCGGTTAACTGATGTGGCGGGAACTGATATTCAATTTAAATTCCAATTCGTTATAATTTCAGTCAGAAGCTTAAAACGCAGTGAAGGAGTCGTTTCCGACCCCATAAACTATATATATTCTTGATCAGCACAAAAAGACAAATCGATCTAGTCATGTCTGGTGGGAAAAAATTTATTCCCATGAAAATAAGGATTGTTTTTGTTTTATAAATATTAAATAATATCACAAATCGAAGACAAAAATTGTAACAAACCGGCAAGAAAGTAAAAGATCGATTTTAAGTTGTTAATAAAAAGCATTTTTTATTTCGATTTTAATTATAATTTAATTTAAGACTATCTGTAAAAATGCTATTCAGTTTTGAGCAAGCTGCTGTGTGCCAATTGATCTACCTTCTACATATCTTCTACTAGTTCCCGGCGCCTCGTCACGCTCAGGCACTCCCCCGCTGTGCCTGTCCCTCGTCGGTGATCTCGGTTCCCGCTGCGGTGGCCGCCGCTTGATGGAGCTGCTTCAGCTCATTGTAGACTCTCAGAGCAAGTTGCATATTGGGCGCCTGCTGCCGTCCCGGTACCTGATGCTCCGGCGGTGGTTGGACACACATCCGGACCAGTTTTTGCAGCACCTTCGAGAGGCGGACGCCACTCAGCAGGCCGGGCTGAAAGGTGCCGCCGCCGAGGAGGACGTGCTCGCAGAATATCTGGAAGTTGTTGTTCTGCTGGATGTGGGTGCAGGTGTGCTTGCCCTCGTCGCACATGCCACGGCAGGAGTGGAAGTGACAGTCCTGGCTGGTGCGGCACTTGACGCCCCGCGACAGCCTCTTGTCCAGCTGGCTCTCCACGTAGACATGCTCGGCACTCTGGTACTTCAGCCGGCGCTCTGGCGTTGTCCCAAAGCGATTCACCTGCATCTTGCACATCTTAAGGGGTTCCGGTTTCATTTCATCCAGCCGGAAAATATACTCCATAATGTTGAGGGCGTGCTTCAGACGCTGCAAGCGATTGGAAGCCCTAAAAGACGGTTTTAATTATATTAATAAACTTGAAAATATTGTGGAGAAAGCATTTATAGTTACAGATACTGCATAATGCTGGGATTGGACTGGACAATCTGCAATCCCTCAGTGGCATAGTAGGGCCCACAGGACCCTAGGACAGCTGGGAATATAGACTCTTCATCGAAGAGTTTGCCCATCATATAGTTGTTGTCCTTGAAAAGCCGCCAGAAACTGACCATTTGCTGGGAGTTATCATCAGCTATTTCCTGGTTTACCAAAGCGCGGATCTTAAATGGGAATAAAGGTTTAAAAAAATCAATAAATATTAGAAATAATATTATTTTTAATAAGAAACTAAACTAATTTTGAGAAGCCAAAGTATCTTTGCAGTTTGTTATAGTTTTTGGGTTCATAATTAAGCCATATATCTGAATTTGGAAAGATTTTGTGTGTTATATTAAGCAATTATTGGCCTTCGTATACTACTAAGAGAACACCAAAATTCGATAATTTGATACGCTAATTTTTTGGTTAAATTAAAGTTTTCCAAATATCATAACTAAGCCAAAAATCCATTAATTTCGATTCGGAAGCCGGTTCTGTGCTAGTTTTAAATATATTTACAAATCTTCATACCTAAATTGAAATTTTAAAATATTCAATTTTTTATTAAGTTTTGACAATTTTGACGATATATTTTTTGGAAAAAAGTACAAAAATTTGTGTTTCTTTTTTTTTAGCCAGAAAGATTCGCCTGTTGATGCTGATCACGAATATATATGATTTATAGGGTCGAAAATGATTTTTTCACTGTGTTTCAATCTTCTGACTGAAACTATACTTTTCCAAAACGGTGTAAAAACAGACAATTTCATTAAAACATCTATGTTTTCCAAACATCATAATTAAGCCGAAACAGCATTAATTTTAATTCGGAAAGCTTTTCTTTGCGAGTTTTTAAAGCACTAACAAATCTGCATACCACGTTTGTTGATGCAATTAAAAGTTTTTGACTGAAATAAAAAAATCCAGCAAAAAGGTATAAAAACAGACAATTTTTCCAAAAAATCATAGTTTACAAATCTCATAACTAAGGCAAAAACTCATTAATTTTAATTTGGAAAGCTGCTCTATGCTAGTTTTGACTAGATTAACAAATCTGCATACTCAGTTTTTAAATTTAAGAAATTCAATTTTTTGTCGATTTTTGAAAAAAATCATGATGTAACCCCTTATGAAAATTTCAAATTTTAACAAAATTCGGAAAATGTTATTTATCTTTTAGACATGCCAAATAAGATTCGCCTGTTCATTCTGATCAAGAATATATATGATATATAGGGTCGCAAATGACTCCTTCACTGTTTTGTAAGCTTCTGACTAAAATCATTATACTCCTGCAAGGGTAAAAACCCTGACTTTTTTGACACATTCTATCCCCAATTTCTAAGGTTTTATTTAATCCTTCCGAAGCCTCCTTTTCCTGTCTTTTATTATCTTACCATATTATCATCCAGCGTGACATTATAGGCCAAAATGATATGCAGTTTAACAATCTCATGAAATTCCTCCAGCTTAGGATATATGGACTCTCCCTTGCTGTTTGTCCAGCTCAACTCGTCATCATTATGCCGGGCCAGCTAGGATATGGAAAAAGATTCAATTAAATCGTAGTCATGACAACTTGAAGCCGGAAAACCCGACCTACCTTCACCGCATACATATCACCGTTCTTTTCGGCTGTGAAAAGTATAGTTTTCATATCATTTAGAGGACACTGGAAGTTGTCGAAGGAAGATTGAGCTCCGCAGAGTTCCTCGCAAAGGGAGCCACTGTACTCATGCTTTTCGAATTTCTGGCACTAAATATTAAGAAAATCAGTAAAATATTTATTTGATTAACAAAACGATGATACTTTACCATAAGGTTGAGGCTCCTGTGGGACATCAACTTGAAGCAAAACTTGAGATTGAGAAAGGCGTAACTGAAAATGCCCACCGCCAGCAGGACCGCAATTAGAACCGTTCGCTGCATTCCAAACCGAATTTTCCGACGCAGGGCAGTTAGCATTTTAAATGTTTAAAATTTCCATTTCGGCAATTTGCATTTCGCTAACACACCCCATCGCTGGTCCAAGAGTACATATACATACACTTGAAGCTTTAAGGGAGAGAGAGAACTGTCACTGGAAAATTGACACTTTGCCAGGACATGCGCAGAGCAGGGACTTCCGTTTTATCGATATTTATCGATTAAATGAAACACTTGCTTGTTTTATTTTGAAATTATTACTTAACGTATAATTCTTTATTTATACTCTCTGCTAAATTGAGCAATTTACTTTACTTAATTCATCAATTTCATTTTATGTTTTGTATTTTTCTTTTTAATAAGTTGTCTTTTTATTTTTAATTTCATTCAAGTGTTTTAGAGTTTTTTCTTTCGTTCTTTCTTCCGTTTTTGCTTTTGGTTTCTCTTGCTTTTGTTTGTTCTGATTTACTAAAAATTATTTAAATTCAGAATCATATACCTAGGTTCAAGTTTATTGTTGTATATTAATAATATAATTATTATTTCGCCATTTACTAGCCAATCCAAACTGGGATCGCATCTCATGTCTCAGAGAATTTGTCAAGTGTCAAGTCTGTATCTGTATCTTTGTCTGGTTTCTGTATCTGTATCTGGGCCTCTCTAATATTCACCTTTGCGTGTATTTATATACTTAAGATAACCATTCTGTATGCACAATTTTAACTAGTTATGTACACAACTATATATGTGGCTATGACAAATGCTAGAACGCCGCTCAAATCCGAGCCACAAAACTAAGGTACAAATACTTGTAGGTATAAAAAAAAACAAACAAACAAAGAAACGTTGTACAAATAACCTCTAGGGGATGATGTGTAATTGTTAATTGTGTTAATTCTGCTATATATATATATATTTATATATATATTTATATGTGTGTTTGTCAAACGGCATCTCTCACTAATTCTTTGCAGCTGGCTTTGGTTTTGCTTTTGGGGTTTCTTGCAGTGTGATTATCCTTTTTGTCGAGTTCGCAAATCTCCCTCTACATTGAAAGTATCTGGTAAGAGTATCTTTTTTGTGTCCTTTCGCTACGTGAACTTTTTAATGTTAAAAAGGTAAAGCCGCCTTGGGGCTTGGCTATTTCCCATAGTCTGTTTTTTTTTCCTATTACTGGATAATGTCTCTGTCTGTGTCTCTGTGTGTGTTTTGAGTGTTATTTACGGCTAATTGTTACGGATCTGATCTGTTATTTACAGTTAGAAGTAGTGTCAGTTCGGCCATCGGATCGAACTCACAACCAAAAGTCCGTTTCCGTTTCCGTTTTAGCTTTAGCTACCATTTCCGGTGCCGTGTTCTTTTGTTCGCCTTTTCCTTTTTTTATTTGTTTCTGTCTGTTTTTTTATGTCTATATTGTGTGTTTTTTTGTTTATTTTTTAACTTTACGCAATGTTAACATTCTGTCTTTTGATTTTGTTACAAAATCGCGCGGCCGCTTGGCATTTAACTCGTTTGTTTTTGCTTTTTTAATTGTTCAGTATTTTGTTTCATCATTCTCATTGAACTCATTATTGTTTTTTTTCGCTTAGTTCATTAAAATATAATGTAAAAAATCTGCAAATTGCATGCTCCTCGTTAATTAATGTGCCATTAAAAAATGTCTATGATTTCTCTATATGTATTCATTCTTATATTTACAGCAGTTTTCTTGTTTTTATTCGATTTTCCGGTTTTATTTGTTTCGTGAACTTTGTAATTTATTTTTTTGGGGGGGAGGTAGAAGGACTCCACTCCCCAGTTCGATCTATTTGTTGTTCATTTACTTAAAACCTTTGTTTTTTTTTTGGCAGTGCATTTATATTTATTATTTTCGGTTTCACTAATTCATAATGATTCGCCTCGGCTAATGACTACACAAATGAAGTTCCCATTTTAGTTAGTTAGTTAGTCGTAAATTAGGTTATTAATTAATCAACAGCAGTTATGTACAAATTTCTCTCGTTTTGTTCTCCCTCACGCAAGGTACGTCTGATTCAACGGCTATTAAATTAAGTTGGAGTGCTTAGTTTACATTTAGTTTTTATATATTTTCAATTGGTTTTTCTTTCTTTCATTTCTTTTTCGAATTTCTGAACTTTTCGAAAGCAAACTGAGGCTACAAGAGATACGACAACGACGACTAGAAAGTATAATTGGAAGACAGTAGTTGTTTTTTGGGGGATTAATTCACTTTGAAACGAAACCGAGCAAATTGAAAAGTGATCTTTTCTCCATCGAGAAGTGGGGAAAATTGTGAGGGGGATTGGAAAAACGGAAACGTATTTAATCCTTTGAGCAAAATGGCTTTATTGCTTTATTACAAAAATTCGCAAGCAGTCCCTGAAGAAGCTCGTTCAATCATAAAAATATGCGCATATCAAATAAATGATAACAAAACTCTCTCTCTCATTTTATCAGCGTAATCTAAACTCTTTTTTGGTTAATTGTTTAAACTTTTCGTGTGTGTGTGTGTGAGTGTGCCAACCTACAGTTGCTGTTGTCGTTTGCTTTTGTTTTGTTAATTAATGGTTAATTATTTATTTATTATTATTTAGTCGCAGTTGCGGTTGCTGAAACTCTAAATCTTGTGGCGCCGCTTCGATCTGATCCTTCCTTATAGCTAACTTTTAACTGTTTTTCCTTTTATTTTAATATATTTTTTTGTTAATTTTTTTTGTTTTTTTTAGTTCTATCATCTAGGCTTGAGTAGGTGTGTGGTGTGTGTGTGTGTGTGTGTGTGCTTTATTATTTCCATTTGCCTTGGCTCTTATCTATGTATATGGGTTTTTTTTTAGTCAATTTAAATATGCAAATTCAAAACCTTTGCTTAATGTTTAAGTTGAATATACAAATGTTCTCTCCCCATTTTTTCGCACCTATCTCTTGTAATTATTATTATGTATACGCACTGTTAGCTTAAGTATTTTGTATTCTTTTCATTATTTAAAATAGTCGTTGTTCTGCTTCCTCTTGTGTTTTTTGTAGCTGATGTGATTCGTATGGGTGAGATTTTTTTGTGCTTTGTGGATTGAGTGGGTCGTTTTTTGGGATAGAATATATGTATTAGATGTTGAAATTAAGCTTTGGAAAATTGTTGAAGATATTTAATTGGAAAATGTTGAAGTTGTTTACTTTTCAGTTAGATTAAAAGAAAGAAAAACTGTAAATCATAGTTGTAGCTTCGATTATTGTATCCAAAAAGAACCTTGGATACCATTTCCTTTAAAAATAAGGCATACAATATAGGTTTATCTTTCCGAAATCAAAGTTTCTCATTTAATAATTGAATTCTAATGCCTATTTCTTAAGATTCCCTAAAATTTGTTAAATAAACATATCATAAATTAAACCCAAGCTCACTCTCAACATCTTTTACCCATTTTCTACCCCTAAAAATACCCCACTCTCCCCACTGTGCTCGAGTGTCTCTTAGTCTGTGTCCTTATGTGTGATCCTCGCTTTGGCTTAGCACAAAAATTAATGTTAATTCTCATCCTTTATGTTATTTTCTTTTGGCAGTGTACAAATTGTAATTAAATGGTAATTATGGTTCTCAAGCGGCTGTTTTTGTTGTTGTTTTTTCCAAGTCGCCACACAATTAGTCCTCGTCCAGGCTCTGTGATCGTCGCTTCGATACCACCAGATACTTCCGGCCAAAGTAGGGTGAATCTGTAGGGGGGAGGTATGAGGATGTAGGGGCAGGATGTAGGTTCCTTTGCTAATCCAACCATTTATCGCTCTCACTTTTTGCGAAGAAAATCGGTGTATTTGCGTGCTCGCTTGCGTACCCGCTTGAGGGCCGAACCCAACCGGAATTGCTCCTCGGTTAGGGCAAGGTCATGGTAGGCGGTGTGCTGGTGGTGCGAGTGGGCGTGGTGCACATGATGGCCATGGGCATGGCTGTGGTGCGGGTGCGATTGCGATTGGGATTGCGATTGCGAGTGCGGCGAGGAGGCAGCGTGATGATAATGATGCATCTGCACAAAGTCATCCCCGGCAGGATTCACGGATCCCGAGAGTGGTGATCCTGGCGACAGGGGTTGTGCTAGCAAATTATGTTCGGAGGCGGCATCAAAGGATTCGAAATGATGCAACTGCTGGTGATGCGTCAAGGGCTGTGGCGAGGGCAGTGAGGAGGAGTGCTCACTGGTTGTGGAGGCTCCACCACCTGCTCCCAAATCCATGCCAGCAAACTCCTTGGGCAACTCGTCTATGCCTAAAGGCTTGTCAAAGTGCGAATTCCCAGACATGTTGGTGTAATCATAGCTGGGATAGGTGTAGGGCAGGTACCCAGCATGATGACCTTCGCAGCCCACTTCGGAGGTTCCTGCTCCTCCTCCACTGCTACTCCGGTTGTTAATGAACTTCACCTCATTGGCATTCCGTTCCAAACTGCTGCTAAATACTATATTTATGTTGTTCGAACTCGTCGATAGATTTATGTTCGTGGGCGAGAGTTGCTCCGTGGAGCTCTGATTGAGATTGGTCTCCTTGGAGTTGGCTCTGTGGTAGCTCTGGAAGCACTCGGCTGCATCACTGGAGGCAGTGTTTGTGGTATTCGTATTGTTGTTTGCCACATTTTGTTGTCCCTGCTGGAAGTTGTTCTTGTACTGAAACTCCAGGGCATTGCTCGGCTGGAAGGGATAGTTCTTGGAGTTGTTTAGGATATCACTGGCTGTGGCATCTCCCTTGGACAGGTACTGATGGATATCCTCGCTGGTGATTTGCAGATCCTGATCCAGGTAGCTGTTGCATTGGATGTAATTGTAATTGTTGCTGCAACAATTGTTGTAAGCCTCGCCGGCATCCTGATGGAACATCACCGTGGTGGTGGCTTCCTCCTCGAATTCGCAATGATAGTTGCCACTTCCCTTGCTACCACGACTTCCTTTGCTCCCGCGACGCTTTCGAGCAGCTGCCGCCGAAGTGCTGGGTCCTTCATCATAAACGGAAGTGGAGCTCTTCCAGCAGGTTTCACTTGTAGTGCTTGTGATCTTCCTGCAGGGCTTCTTTTCCGGCTCGGGTTCTGGCACTTGCCAGGCATCTAGCTTGTCCTCTTCCTCTCGCTCGGTGACACCTCCTCCTCCTGCTCCTCCTCCTCCTCCACCGCCACTGCTTCCCAGAGTTCCCTCTAGTTCTGTGGGTGATCTGCCATCGGCCAGGAAACTCCAACGAATGGGTGATGGCGAGCAGGCATATTCTGGCAGCTCTGTACTACTCAAAGCTCCCTTGGAACTCTGCCTCTCCAGCGTGGATCCCTGCTCTGGAACCATATTCTTGGCCCGATCAAAGATCGATGTGAGGGAACCCAACTGACTATTGGGACGACTGGCATTCAGACCCCTTAACGAAATGGAGGTGTAACTCGGCTGACGATGCTCTGGCATTAAACTCCTTTGACTCCTGTGATGTTTTCGCACCAAAGCCGAGGCAGACTTTATGGAATTATTCCGACTCAGCGAGGATCTCGAACCATACAGACTTGTGGAATCCGTCTGGTAGCAGTAATCCGAGGAAGTGCAGCAACTGCTGGGACGCCGCGAGGAGGAACCATACAGATCCTCGGCAAAGCACTGGGCAAGTTCAGTGCGCGAAGAGCTATTGGTGGCCGTGTTGCAACAAGTGCGTCTCACTAGAATCTCCTGAACCTCACGATCCGTGCAACTGGGATCCTGGCACGTCTGCGAGGATAACTCGGTGACAGATCGATGCCGACGACTCGTGCACATGGAGGATGGACGCACGGCCGAGTGACTTGCCCCATGACCATGTGCTCCAGGCAGACTGCCACTACCCTGGCGACGCCTCCGATGGCGACTGTGGTGCGTGTGCTGGTGCGTTGCTGGTGCCTGATGATGGGTGGTGGTGGTGGTGGTGCTGGTGGCATGCGGCGACGTGTGGCGACTGTGGTGCGGACTGTGGCTGTGGCTATGCTTGCGTTGCTGGCAGTGGTGCGATGGTGGCTGTGCCTGTGGCTGTACTGGCAAGGGATTGGCTTGATCACATACGACTTCCTTCTCATAGCTACAGTGTACGTATTCGTGTGTGGGATATTGGATACGGGATTGATGGTGCACCTGCTGCTGGAGGAGTTGCTGCTGCTGTTGCTGCTGTTGCTGCTGCTGCTGCTGCTGCTGTTGCTGCTGCTGTTGCTGCTGCTGCTGCTGCTGATGATGATGATGTTGATGGTGGTGCTCCTCAGCGCGACTCGTGGAACGAACACTGGCAGAGTCAGGAGGCGAGGCGCTCCTCAGTCAAGGCCCGCTGCTCGGGCAGACAGGTGGAGGCTGACGAGGGTGATGGGGCGCAGAGGCAACGTTCCGGCCCTGGTGTGTACTTCGGCCGCCTTCTAAAAATCGCTCGGATGCAGCTGCAGGTGGCAACATTTGGCGGTGGGTGGCAATAAAAGCATAATACACACAACAAAAAAAAAGTAGATACCAAAGTCGAGAACACAAAAGAGAAGCAATTAATATGGTTATTTTTGTTGTGCCAAATTGCAGGGGGTTCCTCTGGATCGTTAGTATTTAATTTATAGTTTTTTTCGGTTTTAATTTTTTGTTTCTTTTTGGGCGTTTCACTACTACGGCTAATTAAAATGGTGCATGCAAAAAAAGTCCATGCCAATAATACGCATGCATTAATTATGTTTGGTAACCATATATAAAAAACATTCGAACTTTTCATGCAAAAGTCGGTAAAAAACCAACAAATTGCGGGTTCCACAGAGCATTTGATGATGAACTCGAAAAAGGGATGCTGATTGATTGATAGTCTGATTGATTGATTAATTAATTTAATGAAATGATTTTCATTGTTGAAAATATATTTCTTATTTGAAAGATATTTAATCAACGATTTCATAGATACAGTTGCAGTGTCAATAAGAGGTTTAAAAACATGTTTAAAATTTATTACAGACAAGGTTTTAAATATATGAATAATCAATTAATAATAAGAGCTTTTTTAGCCACTTAATAAATCATTAATTTAATTTAAAGCTATCAGTCTTGCATCAGTAATTAACTCTTATTTTTATCACTCCAAATGTATCTACATTTATTTTAATTTTTTATATACTTTCTGTTTAGAAGAGAATATATCTAGTTTTTAATAAAAATAGACATGAAAATGAACGTTTTTGATTGTGGTAATTAGTTGGCATTTAAAAGTAATTTGATTCATAACGATTTTAGATGAAAATGTCACTGGATTTGAATGATTCGAGTTTAATTTGTGTCGCATTATTGGCACTTTATTTTCTGATCTTTTCAGCGAGTGTGTGTGATTGGGGTGTACTTTGATTTTTAGATAGTTTTGAGTGGTGTTTTGTATAATTCAAAGAGAGAGACAGAGTGGTGCGACTTTTCTTTACTTAGCCAATCGATTTCGCTTGATACTTTTTTGGTTTTTTTTTGATATAGTTGGTCCCAAGTTCAGCATTTTTCCCTTCACTTGCGTACTATAAAGGAACGAAAGGAAAACAGGATAAGCTACGTTTTCATCAATCGATGATCCGAACTGTCAGTGGTTCGTTTTTAATTTTAGAATTCAGCTTGATATTATATATAGTATATGCTATAGTTTCGACTTTTAGGGTGCATTCAAGTTTGTTTTTTTTTTTGGGTGCAGTCTTAGCGCAGCTCGCTTTCTCTATGGCATTTTCATGTAAATGCTTTTCGTGATGAGCGGAGTGGCTTATTTATTTTGATTTGGTTGAGTGGCTGCAAGGTGGCTCAGTGGCTCAGTGGCTCAGTGGCTGTCTTACTAGCTTACTAGGCTGGGTGGTGGTGGGCTTATTTAGTTAGTTAGTTAGCAGTGCTCTGGGTCAACCTACATGACATCCTTCCATGGGCCGAATGTCGTCGGAAATTGTAGTCATCGACCTCATCGTAGTGGCACTTTCTTGCCGGCTGTGGCGTTTGCAGATTTGTGCCATAGTTCGTGTAGCATTGAGCTGTTCCGGCCACGGAGCCAAGGACATTGCCACCTGGTCCATAGCTGCTCGATCCGGGACCCAGGAGATTGGTGCTATCGCTCAGGGGATAGGGACCCATGCCTTCAACCGTCAGGGAAAACGAGGTCGTACCAAACACTTGATTATTACAAAAGGCGGAGAGAAGAGTTCTCGGTTTTTTCGATTTGATTTTTCGATTTCATGCAAGTTCAGATAGTCGCCAATATTGGTTTTGTCGCAAGATAATTGTTTCATGGTTACATACAATAGTTGTGGTGTCGGTTGGTTGTGTTTTTGTTTTTTATATATATTTAGTTTATTTTGTTGGTTCCCGTTGATGGTTTGAGTTTTGATTGATTGAGTTTTCCAATGTTTAGAAATTGTTTTGATTTAAAACACAATTCATAAATCCGAATGGAAGTAAACAATACAAGATAGTTAATTTATTCAGCGATTATCGCTTTTCAATTTTAAAATTACAGATTATAGAATAGAGAACAGTTCAGATTAAAAATTCTACTCTAACAAGCATCTAAATAAATATGGAACGAAACAAGAGTCACAGAATCAAGGCATTCCTCAAATAATAATTACAAGAACTCTAAGCAAATCATAATTATTACAAATTTTATACACACACTTAAATATTTTTATATTAATGAGATGAATGGGAAATATTGGAATGGTAAGAAGAGTTTCTTGTATAATTAATACAAAAATAAAATAAATAATTGCTCGTTTTAAAGTGTGGAGTTTGTGAAGCTTGTTCCCATATTTACTTTAAACACCTCATTAAAGCTTTTTATTTATGAAAATCATTTAAAATGGCACCCCAAAAACGAGTTTTTTATATCCCCAGAGATTTAATTAACAATTACAGAGATACTTTTGGTTATTTTTGGGATAATTTCAGCATTTAGTATCCTAAAATTAATTATGCCACACGTTTTACATGTGTTGTTTGAAAAGGAGAAACATAGACAGAATATATCCCAACAGATTGGTTGTCAGTGAGTGTAAACAAATATATATATATATATATATATATATATATATATATATATTTAATAAAATTAGGACTCTTTACCAGTGTTTACCTAAAGGACATTCCCCTGACTTGTGTTTGCTTTAGAACACATGGATATATGCAAATATTGACTGATGTGTCTTTCGAGCAATTTGCACAACAAATAAAGAGAAAATTAAAAACTCAAACGGATGCGAAAAGTGTGAAAGTAGAAAACTAAAATGCAATCCTGAATGTAATTGAGGTAAATTCAGGTAAATGATGAGGATGAGTAGAAGTGGTGGGTGGTTAGGTGGGGATCCAGGTGTTCTAGGTGGAACGTAGACTTTGTTTTTGGATTCTTACGTGAGTCATGTTGGGTCTTCTCCTCAGATACCATCAAGGCGGCATGCTCGATGCCAGAATTCATACTTTGTGGCTCCAAGCTATTTGTGCAGTTTAGCATACTCCTGAAATTCGCACACTCTACGATTATGTTTTAAGTGTAAACGTATTTTGGTAAATTTAATTTCTTTTGCAAACTAATGAGAGCAATTTCGAGAGTTTTTTCGGAGTCGGAGAAAGGGGAACTTTACTGTGGTGGCTGCTGTATTACTTCAAGTTTCAAAAAGATTAGTTTCAAGTGTAAGTCTGCTTGGAAGTTATTAGGCGCGGCTTTAAAATTACAATAAAGAACTTAATAAACAAATTAATCAATAAATCAATTGAAAATGGTAATAAAATATAACATTTATTCAAAATCAAATAGATAGATATATATATAACGTGAAATAAAACTAGTTCTAGGTCTTAATAATGGCTCCCATTTTGATTCTCTCAAAACCAGAATCTTTCCAGGAATTGCTATGAGTGAAAACTATGATTTTCCCTACAATTATAAATTAATTTTCTTTTGGGAGGGTGGAAAAGGGGTGTGGTTTCACTGCGCTTTCGGGTGGGTGGTGCCTTTGTCCTCGCCCTGCGATAATTCAATGTCCGCCGTGTGGGAACTGATGTCGTTAACACTCTCCTCGCTAAATGGACACAAAATTGGGCAACAAAATCAGTGTGTATGTGGTGTGTATGGTGTGTGTTTTGTATGGGAATAAATATGGACCACTTTAAAAACTGACCAATTCATTATTTTCAATGATGAACAATGAGCGGTGAGGGAGGAGCGATTCCGATAGGGATCGAATGACAAATGACACTGAAGATGAGTGGAGCGACTCTTAATTATAGTATTTAAGTAAGTAATAGGTATAACTATGCATAGTAGAGAGAGAGAGATAGAGAGTTGGAGAGTATTAAAATTGTTATTAAATAGTTCAAGTATTTATATATAGTTTCGCTAATTCTTATTTAGTTCGCTTCAACGGCAGCCAGTTTATTTAATGAATTGTAAGAGTTTGTGGTAACAGAGTAACGAGTTTTGTAACCAAAGTACAGGCAGAGTTAAGCAAACATGCCGATAAAATTCATAGAAACTTTTCAGCGCAGAAGAATTCGAATTCAAATGAACTTCACTTGATTTTTTATTTAGTTTTTTTTGTTTTTTTGGTTAAAAATTGGTACATAAAGTGGCTAAATAAGGTACAGCAAATACGAGCTACGTTTAAAAGGTGATAACTTCGAAGAGCGAAACGCATTGAATTTGATTTTGATTTTTGGATTTTTTCGGGCGGGGGACATTTTCTTAATTTTTTTTTTTTTGTTTATAATTCGGAATTTAAGATCCAGGACTTGTGGACGGCACTGTCATGCAACTTACCCGTACAGTCTACTATCTCGAAAAGTCCTTTTTGGGGCATTACATGGAACGTAGTTTCAAGTCAAAGGGTTATTTTTCAAAACTTATGGTGCGTTTTACAAACAAAAAAACAACCAAAACAAAATAAAAAACATACGAAATTTTCAACTTAGGAAACTTAAAACTATTGAAACCTGAAAAGAGTTGAACTTCAAACTCGATTCAGGACTCAAGGGGCATAATAAACTTCCAAGTAATTGGTAAAACAGGGTTTCTTCGGTTTCTTTGTACGCGTTTTCTTGTATACATTGGTTTTTTGGTATTAAAAAGGATCGAGAGTTTATGAGTTGAACAACTATTCGACATATTGCCATGATTTGTGTGCAGAATTTGAACTGAGGGATGATGATGAGAGGAGATAATGAAAGATGTACACATACCTGCCATTATTATGCCGGAAGAGGGCCAGGATCTCCTCGAAGGTTTTGTTCTTGGTCTCGGGCACTTTCTTATAGGTGAATATCCAGAAGATGGCCAGGAATACGCTGAACGGCAAGAACGTATAGTTCTCAAGGGCAGTCTAAAAGAAATTACAAACATTTAAATATATATATTTATTATTTATATAGTATGGAAACCCACCTTCATGCTGGGGAATCCAATGCCAACCACAAAGTTGGCCATCCAATTGACCAGCACTGCAATGGCCATGGCACTTGGCCGAGGTCCTTGGGAGAAGAGCTCGGCGGTAATCATCCAGGGTATACTGCCAGGACCCACCGCAAAGAAGACGACAAATCCAAGGGTGGCCACCACCGACAGATAGGACATCCAGTCAATCATTTCCTGCACATAACCAAAAAACTCCTATACAAAATGCATAGTATTCGCATTCTCGATGTAGGCTTTTCTTTATCCTCAACTCGGGTCTAAACCGACGAACTCCTTCTCCTTCTTCTCTCATAAATAAATCATAAATAAATATAGAATAAATCCCTGATCGATCTGACCTTTTTATGCATGAAAGTTGGTTAGCGTACTGAAAGTTGAGTAAAATTGAGTAGACTCGGTCTCAGGTTTCTTGGTTCTCTAAGAATTGACCTTTTTTTGGGGCCCTGGACTGCCGCTCGAGTCTTTAGGAATGCTTAGTTTTGTGGTTAAAGTTAGAGCTATTATCTTACACAATTACCGAAATGAAACGAAATGAAATGAAAATAAATATATAATATTTGAAAAAGTAAGGCTGCTGCGGGTCACATTGAGAAGTGTGTGTTTTTCGTGTTTTTTGTGAGTTTAGCGCGGTGCTCTGCTCTATTTGTTCTGCTTCGAATTTGTATTTATTTTTTATATATATTTTCTTTATGGGTGGAACTGGTGCCCAGGAAAAACTTTTGCAGAGTTGTGTGTTATATATATTTTATTTTTGTTTTGGTTTTGAAAACTTTTGCTTGCCTTTGAAACAGTGTTGTGGTTTTTTTTTTTGCTTCTGGATTCGCGTGGCCTGATCAAGCGAAAAATAATAAGCAATCTATAAATTAAAAAACTGAACGAATTCGTCAACTGATTTCGAGTGAGAGACAGAGTGTTTTTTTGTGGGTGGGCGGAAAGCCTGCCAAGTCGAGAATAGCACTAATTAAGGGGGCGGGAAAGTTGCACCTCAAGGCTAACCTTTAACCTTAAACAGTGATTTTTCAGTGTATTTTTTTATAACAAAAGAAAAACCAATGTCTGGTTAGATAATATATATATTTTAGGTTAGCCCTGTCAAGTGCAACAACTTAGCCTAGGCAACTGATAAAGTAAAACTCAACTTAAAGACCTCTCTACTAAAGGCAAGCCACGTGCAAAAGTGTTTTTATAAAAATATGTTTCATTAAATATAAAAATATTTAAATAATCAAAACTAGTACTAAAGCATTCCAAAAGCTAATCATGCATAAAGGGTCTCAGGCGGCTTAAACATATTATTTAAGTCACGCATTTACGCGGAGATAATTAATAACTAAATCGACCTATAAATTAAATGCACACACATTTTACACACTTATCTATGACTAGAACTTAAATGCAATGCATCAATCCAAATACAGGGGGAAAAACAAAAAAAAAAAACACGGCTACATTTAATGGCTGAGGGAGAGTCATAAATTCAACTTGTTATAAATTCAAATATATATATATCTCACATCAATAATTTATAGAAAATACGCGCGGGACAACTGTCATGCTTTTCGTGTCTGTCTGTATTTTGTGTGTGTTGTGTGTGTTGAGTGTGTGTGTCTGTTTTTGAGTGTTGTTTTGTTGTGTGAATTTCATAGGTTTTTTCTTCTCTTTTTGGGGGGACACGGCGGGGGTTAAACACAACTTCATGCATAAAATATTTATATCAATATTCAAATATTTATAAAGACACGCGGGATATGGGGATAAGGTCTAGGCATTACACTGAGAGATATATAGAGGAGTTACATATATGCAAAATGCAAATGCGATGGGCCCGCTAAGTGGACCCACCAACAAAAAAAAAAACTTAAATGGATGGCAGGCACTTTGGCATTCTGACTTTAAAGCAGCAGGATGCGAATGTCCTGGCGAGTCCTATACTTGCCTTGATCAGGAACGAAATGGTGATGAAAATGGAGAAGATGAACATTCCACCCAAACCATACAGATGCAGGGTACGGCGACCAGTGCGATCCATCAGGGGAATGGATACCAGGGTCATTACAACCTTTAAGAAAATTAAAAAAATTAAATATAAAATATATATAAAATTTATAATGTATAAGTATAGTTACCATAATGGCACCTATGCCTATCGTGGCAAATTTGGCGCTCTCCTCAGTCAATCCCGAGCTCATAAAGAGCGACGTGGAGTAGTAGAAGACGGCATTGATGCCACTAAATTGCTGACTTAGTTGCATCACAATGCCAATGATCAGCGGAGGACGCAGGGTGGGCGAGCAGATTAGCTCCATGGTCGATATGTGGCTCTCGGCCTGCTGGGCACGCTCCTCGGCACGCATTTCCTCGATGTCCTCCTCCACGGAGCCAGAGGCACGCAGTCGTCGCAGGGCTATTAAATATAATCAAGAAATATATATTAAAAACGTTGAAATAATAATAAAAACAATGCTTAAGGAATATAAATTACTATAATAGAAAAATTTATAACATTTCCAGAGTATTGATTACTGTTTATTAAGCTGTTTTTTAATATTTAATCATTCATAACAAATCATTTGTTTTTTTCTCTTTAGTAAAAAAATAGGTAACAATGATTTAAGGCTAATATGTTTGAAAATAAATAATTAAGAAAGGTTCTAACATATATTTTATATGCGGAAAAACGAATCATGAGAGATAGAGGATAATAATCTACATTTAAATTATTTTAAGTACAAAAAAAGAAAGAAAACCAAACCCATCGTTTATATACCCTTAGTTTGCAATCTAATTTTGATTAAATTGCAACTAATCTAAAATATATGCTTTTTTTGAATCAATAATTATACAAAGGATTTTTATGGAAATTTCTTCGACAAATCATAGTTTAAAAAACTAGTAACTAAGCCAAAAATGCATTAATTTTAATTCGGGAAGCTGTTCTATGTTAGTTTTTGTTAGATTAGTAAATCTGCATACTCAGTTGAAACTTATAAAAAATTAAAATTTTTATCAATTTTTTTTTTTAATTTTAACGATGTAACCCCATATAAATGTTGAAAAAATTAAAAAAAAAAAATTTTCTGTCTTAGATATCTAGATTGTTCGCTTTTTATGCTGATCAAGAATATATATGAATTATAGGGTCGGAAATGACTCCTTCACATTCTTTTAGGCTTCTGACTGAAGGTGCAATACCATTTTTTAATCGACATTAACTATATTTTTATATGAAAATTTCTTTAATATATCATAGTTTAAAAAACTCATAACTTGGGCAAAAATGCATTAATTTCAATTCGGAAAGCTGTCCTGTTTTAGTTTTTAATGGGTTAATAAATATGCATACTCAATTAAAAATATATAAAAATAAAAAATTTTGTCCATTTTTTTTAAATTTTATCAATGATATATTTTTTTTTTAAATTTAAAAAATTGTTTTTCTTCCAAAAATAGCTAGATTGATTCCGCTGTTCATGCTGATCAAGAATATATATAGTTTATAGGGTCGAAAATGATTTTTTCACATGGTTGTAAGCTTCTGACTAAATTTAAAATACCCTAAAAGGGTATTAAAATAGTTAATTTTCTAAAATATGATCATATATTAGTCTTTTGCATTTAACAAACAAAAAACAGGCACAGAAAAAGATTAAATTGATTTATACAAATCATTTAGAACATTATTAAAGCTGATAATGTGTCTAAATAAATCATGATAAAGCCAAGGAAACCATTTTTTCTCCTCTAAATACTTTTAAATATATTAATTAGAATAATTTCTGATATTTTTATGGTACCACCCGAGACTCACCTTTACGCGCCTCCTCCTCCCACTGCTTGGTGATGAGCAGATATCTTGGTGATTCAGGGCAGACGGGCAGAAGGATCAATTGCAGGATGGCCGGACAGATGGCCAGGCCCAACAGGATGGGCCAGCCTTCGTTGGTGCCCAGGATCTGCTCGATGCCCAGCACTTGGGATAATAGTAAACCTACAGTCACAGCCAATTGATTAACAGTACCTAAGCCACCGCGCAGATTCAGTGGCGCTATCTCCGAGATGTACATGGGCACCAGCGATGTGTTGAGGCCTAAATTATAGAGAATATATAATATATTTTATATATTAAAAGATTCTAGTACCCCATACTCACCGCAATTAACACCAATTATAAATCGGCCAAGGAATAACATTTCATAGGAATGACTAACTTTGGTAAATCCCATTAAACAAGCACCGGAAATTCCCAGAACATTGTTCAACAGTAGGCCGCCTTTTCTGTAATTATAAGTAAACAAAATGTTTAAGTTTAATATATATATTTTACAATATTTTCTAGATTTTCTCTATATTTACCTGCCAAAGCGGTTGGCCATCCATCCGCCACTGAAACCGCCCAGCATGCCACCGATGGCAAATATGGATACTGCCACCGAGTACAGCTGCTGGATGAACTCCTCGCTAATGTCCTCGCCGTAGCGATCCTTGTACACATCCTTCATGAAGTTCTCGATATTCTTCTCAGGTGCATTTATCACGCCGGTATTATAGCCAAATTGTAGCATGCCCAGCACCGCCGAGAATATCGAATAGGTGAGGAAGAAGGTAAGACCCTGCAAGATTTCGATTAACTTGGTTAATTGCAGAACTATAAGGGGTGGAAATGGGGCTTAGGGGGGTTCAGGGGGGAGGACAGTGGGGGGGCTGTGCGGGCGGGTCCATCAAACGCTTTGCAAACGAGTGTGCGGCAAGGAAACCAAAGCTTACTCTTTGGATATAGCCAATTATTCTAATTGAAACTCAGGCTAAGGTTAAGGAAAGCATAAGGAAAAAACTTCTAATGAATGAGACAGTGTTTGGATGTGAAAAATAATACTTAACAAATAATACTAGAAAATCAAACAAAATTAAATTAATTTGATTATTATTTATTAGATTTATTTGTTGCTACAATAACTTAAATAGAATTAATAATAAAGAGTTTATTTTAAAGATACGTTGATGAAGAAGCCGTCTGTACATGTGGAGTAGAGCACTCAAAAAAATAGTTGTTAAGATTTCATTTGAAATATAATTTACCGCTTAATATTTAAAATAGGATAAACTTTTGCAAATATTTTACTAGCTCAGCTTTATTTTTAAGGATTTACTAGCTTTAAAGATCGGTAAAAAAAAAACGGTTTAATATGGACAAACAAATTTTCTGTATTAAACAACAAATTTTCTTTTTTTTATGCCTTTGCAGGTTATCATTATTTTAGTCAGAACCTTCTATATAAACTTGATCAGCATCAAAAGCTGAATCGATCTAGCAATGACCGGTAGAAAAAAAATTTTCGAATTTTTTCAAAAAAATGTATAAAAATTTATATTTAGTAAAATATTAAGTATGCAGATTTATTAACCTATTAAAAACTAACATTGGACAGCTTTGCGAATTAAAATTAATTAGTTTTTGGCAGAGTTATGAGTTTTTTAAACATTGATTTGTTCTATAAAAATACCGATAAATATCGATTCATAGATTGAAATTATGCTAAGTTATGATCGATTTCGAATTGCAAACTGAAGGTGTATATAAACTTAGTCTTTCCTAAGTTAGTTTCTTTTCTTGATTTTAATTTATTTTATATCAGTCTTTTTGTAAATTATTTTAAATCTTAACTTTTCGTTTAATGTATTTTTTTGAGTGCTTGCATAAACTTGATACCAATTGGAAGAGCATTTTGCATCTGTCCATCATGGTAACAGATTCAGCTGTCAGTGGTTGAGTGGCTGTGTTTTTGGGTGGATAGATGTTCGGGTGGTGGTTGGGTGGTTGGGTGGGTGGTGGTTAGTTTTGGTGGGTGGCGGTGGTGGTTAGTCGTGTGGTTTGTCTGGCTCTGGGTTGTTGGCAGTTGGTTTTATCTTGGTGTTTCGGTTTGTACATGAATAGAGAAATGAAATTCAAGTATTTAATTACACAACATGGCAAATAATTTAAGCTACAAACTTGTTCTAAAAGTCTTAGCTTCCGTCTGTGCGTATGCTCCTCCAGTCGATCGACATATTCGCGCAGCTCCTCGATTTCCTCCTTCACCTGCTGCACAGTGTCCAGTTCGTGTTTGATTGCCACCATGTCACGCTTAACCTAATTAATATTTATCATTTTTCTGGCTTCTTAGTGATGGTAGGGATTCCATTAAAACTCACCTCGGACACTTCACTCTGGCAGCTTTCCACGGACTTGGTCAGCTCCTGGAGCTGGGTGCGTATCTCACACAGAGCCACCGTCGTCTCCAGGTGTCGATCTCCCCGCTGCAGCTCATCAAGTTTCGCTGACAGATTCATGCTCATCACGCTAACTTGCTTTTGCAAACTGCAGTCGGTTTTATTTTTTAGATTATTTAGTCGGCAGATTGCGCAGTCAAAGAAAATATGAAGCAGAAAGGCACTTTTAGTGGCTAGTCGGTTAGGAATGCCTTTGAGCTCATTCCTTATGGCACTCAATGCACTACACACACAGAGACTGAGCGTATACGTAATTTATTTCACTCTGGCTTACAAGACGCAAGAACGCAAAACGTGAACGTAAACGTAAACGAAAAACGAAATTATTTATGACCGCTTGCATTAAAATTTACTGAGCTATGCAATTATTGAGGAATGAAGCAACATAAATTTTATGGGCCACAGAAAATACACAATACAAAAACGAGGCAGAGAAATGAAAACGCACGCCAGTTTCCAAGTTGCCGAGTTGCCGAGTTGCCGAGTCCTTCTCCATAGTCACTCCTTGGGCAAAAGTCCAAGAAAGGATTTCTGTGTTGGGCCAACAACAAGGAGGCAAAAGGCGAACGCGAAACGGGATGGGTACAATAATAATAATAATAATAACAAAGCCAGGCCACTAAGTACATAAAAAGTAACTTAAAGTAAATTGTTGGCATATTTCGTTAAGGTTTAAGGCAAGAGTAATGTACAATGCACGAGAATGAAAAGTTGACGGCATTATATATAGACTTGTATAAGCTGAACTCTGAACTCTGGCTGGGATATAGCCGCACCATTTATTTTCCACATTTCCTTGTTTTCCTTCTGCCAGCCAAAGGCAACTCTTTTTGGGGCAGACAGATAGAAAAGATATACAGATAGATAGATAGATAGTCCCTATCATAGTTGTAGTTCTAATCCCGGTTTGTGTTCTGCTTGTGGAATGCATCAAATTTACATTTTCATCTGCCACAAAATGCCACAAATGCTATAACTGAAAACATTTGATTTAAACACAAATGTTTTTTCATTCAATTTCAACTGATTGATATACATATTGGTTTCTCTGACAAGTGTTCTATTTTTTTGGGGGAAAATTTAAGGTAAATATTGGGTTTTGATATAGTTTTTGCTAATGTTTTCAATCTATGTTTATAAACCGATAAGATTTATAGATTTCTCATTTATTGATTAATCTTTTTATTTTATTTTTACACACTTTATCTGGATTCTTTGGAGTTTTTAATGTAAATATTTATGATATTCCGGAAATATGATTTTTAAACAATTTTAGAGCCTTTTAAGCTTTTAAGGATTGCTATATGACTTTTGAAATTAAATGCATCAATGTTATTAGTATAATTTAAATACAGAAAACCTTTTAAGTAACAGTTATATATTTTATTATATATTTAAAATGAAACTGCAAGGCATTGAGCTCTGATTTTTCACACTATTTCACTTGTTTAGAGCTACAAAGAACCTAGAAAAAATACAAGCATGTTACAAACTAACCATTAATTAGTTCTGCTCAATTTAATGTTATTTGTTCAATTCAAATGTAAGACTACTATATATCTAACCGCTATATACTCCTATAGGAAGATACTTTTTACCCTTTTGTTTGCTAGGATGTGGTGGTGGCATCTAAATCAAATGGCAACAAAAGTTGTGGGCGACAGTTTGCCAGCGGATAGCGAAATGCCGATATACATACTATATATGTATGTGGCGAGCCACAACAATGCGCATACGACACGTGGGCCGTGCTTGAGTTGCCTGCGCATTATGTTAATGCAATGCAATGCAATGCGGGGGAAATGCTGGGTGGATGGGTTTTGCTATCGTTAGTACTGTTATTGTTTTGCATTTCACGGACATTGTTGTGCCGAGCATAAAAGGATTATTTTATGCATACATCAGGCTAGCGCTAGCGAATGTGAAACCGAATCGAGAGCATATACACATAGAAGCAGTGGCAGGACCATAACCATAGCCAGGACGAAACGATGAGATATTCGAGCACATCCTGTGCAAGTTATTGTTCTCTGGCAAAACAATTGCCATACGTGTGCTCTTGCTTGTGCGTCGTCGTCTGTGTCAGTTGCAGGAATTTTCGGTTTCGGTTTTGTGTAAAGGGATTTGTATACGTGAGCATTTAATAAATTTTCTGCCAATTTCTCCCTGCGCTTGTGTGTGCATTCATTAAAAGCTGCAAATACGTGCAGGCACACACCCTGTTCATTTTGTGTCACAAAAAAAGAAGAGAAGGAAAACTGCGCGGAAAATGGGAAAATATTAAATTTTGACAAGACAAAGCTGTCATGCCCTCAGCGGATTATCTATCCCTGGCAGCATTTCAATCACATTAACCCGCCAGAGTCAGAGTAGGAGCATTCGTCAAATATTCAGACCCGTTTCACCTTCATACATCAATTGCAGTCACCAGTTACAGTTGCGTCCCCCTCTATATAGAGGATATATAGGATATAGATCTCACAACCAGTGCACACAATAAATTCAGCGAATAAATTAAAATCAAAATCGATTGTTCTCATATATATATAGAACACATGAATGTGTGTATATATATATATATAAGATATGAGTACTCGTACATATTGCGGGTATGTAAAGTACATCAATCAGATCGAATCTCGGATCGGGTTGGATTTGGGTTGGGTTTTTGGGTTTTTTTTTGGGGTAACCAATTGGCATATAGGACATTCACCAAACGTTTGCAATTTCTTGTTTTTCTTGTCGCATTTTGTTTCATTTCGATTTGCTTGTTTTCGTTTTGTTTTATTCCATTTTGATTTGTTTTGTTGACTCTCATAAACTTTAGCAGGAACTCTCGTGGCTTTTATTGTTTGTAAATCAATTGAAATTTATTTGCGGTCTTTTTCTCGTTGATTTCGTTTTGCAAAGGCAATATTTTATATGATTTTTGCATGATTAACATCTTGTTTGTTTATTTTTATGAAAATTGTTTTTAATTCGCATCAAAAAGGAAATATGCAAGCCAAATATGAACGGATGAACGGAAAAGGAATGTTCTCTACTCGAAACACGCAATGGGATGAAGGTTCAAAAAAACCAACAATTCTTTATAATATATATATATATTTTTTTGTTAATTTTGTTTATTTGTTAATTTTGGTGAAGGGACCGTTACGCCAATTAGTCTGGGGTCTGTTGTAGTTAAACATTAAACCATAAAATGTGTACAGTAATTCATTGCAGCAAACGGAATAACATATGTATGTATTTACGGAACCGAAAACACAAACAACACAAAATGAAGGACATTTAACGGGTTGAAAAATCCTGAAAATATTGTGTGACTGACTGACTGGTTGACTGACTGACTGGTTGACTGACTGACTGACTGACTGAGTGATGTATTGGGGAAAAGATTACGCACAGCAGACAGAGAGAGAGAGAGAAAGCGGGTGAAGTGATGTGAGGTTAAGGGGTTAAGCTAATTATGAACTTGATTACATGCAGGACTTGGGGTGAAAAAGAGAGATATATACGAGAGAGGGAGAGAGAGAGAGAGAGAGAGAGGGAGAGAGAGATGGCGGGTTGCTGAAGTGGCCAACCGCAGGCTGATTGACTGCCCGGCCAAAGGATGTTTGTCAATGGCTTTACATGGCAGCAAATGTGTGTGTGAGTGAGTGTGCGGGAGTGTGTGCGAGTGTGTGCGTGGTGCGAACAGCAACTTAATGGCCCTCAAACACTTTTTGGCATGTCATAAAAAACATAAGCACATACCCACACAGAGAAATGGAATGGTATTTATATTTATTTGGAAACCTTTGCTTTGTATAATCTAAAAATTATTCAGTTTTAATATTTCTGTTACTTTTGAATAACAAAATTTACATTTAAATGCATTAAATCATTTTTAACAAGCACAAAACCTGCTTATTCCTATTAAAATATTTTTAAGGAATAATATTTATAAATATATAATATAGAAAATATGGCTTCAAAAAGTTTGAAGTATCTTAAACCTATAAATTTTAAACAAATCTAAAAAGGAATCATTCTGTTTTCATTAATTTTCTCTATATCAGTTTGAAAACAATGCCATATAATTCTATATTTTATATACAGTTTAATATTTATACATTTTATGTACATCCTGTTTTATTTGTAGTAAAATGACCTACATAAATATTTATAAAGAATTCTTTATTTCTTTTTCTCTATATATTTTTTCTCTGTGCTGGCATCAGATTGCTGTGGCTGCCTTTGAGGGCCTTTTGAGTAGCGCCAAATTGGGGGATTCACGCTCGCAACCCACTCCACACAATCACTAGGTATTTAAATATATATATCCCTCTCTAGTTTTCTCTCTATCCCTCTCACACTTTGCCTATTTTCCCCCACAGCCAAATGATGAGCACGTTTTGGAAACTAAATTAATTTATTTGAAACATAATTGAATTCTAATTGCGATGCATGCAGTAGAAGAGCCGATTGAGTGATTTGGGAGTGAGAGTTCACTGGTTTTTGGGTAAATATTCTAATAATTAACAAATCAATTTGATGGGCTACGAGTGCCAAATTAGATAGATAGAGAGAGGGAGAGAGCAGTGCAGAGGGATTTATTGGATTATTGCATTACAATAAACAAGTATAGTTGTAGTAGTTATAGAGAGGAGGAGAAAGTGAGGGGGGCAGTAAAAATATTTAGATTCGTAATTGAAGTTAGTTGGTTGTAATTGCATACTCATTGAGTGGCGTGAATACCAGGCCACTTTGCGTGTGGCTTTTTATTGTTGTAACGTTGTTGAGTTGTTGTTGTTGTTGATGTTCATGGAGTTATTGTGGCATTTGTTGTGGTTTAAAAAGGGATTTTTCCAAAAATATGGGAATTGGATGATACAAAAAAAAAGCACATATATAGACATTGTACAACAAGTGAGGACAGCGAAAAAGGGGTGGAAATCTTGTGCAGATCAGAAATGCATTTCATCGATCATTCAGGAAATAATCGTTTGGCTATCGATAACTAGGTAAAGTGCCATCCCTATTATCCTTTTAAGAAATTTCGCTGCAAATGCATTTCCGGTGATTGCAGACATACACAGATAGAAAACATTTATACATATATATATATGTAGATACACTTAACTCGAGTGATTGACAGGCTGTGTGAAAATGGATTGTGCTCAATCACTCGGTGACATTTTTAAGCAAAGTAAATACATTTCAATTGAGTTGCAATATTTTTTGTACAGCGCGTGACACGGCAACAAAGGAGGTTGTTTTATTTTGCAATTTAAAGAATAAAAAAAGAGGCAGCAAATGGCAAACAAACGGCTGCTAATTAACAGTTTTTAATTAAAGTTCTATCAATGCGGATGAGAAGCCATTTCAAATGTAAAATGTAAATGTACACAATTATTTATTAATATACGATACACAATCGGTGAATCGATGAGTGATGGACAATGGCTTATGATGACTGATGGCAGAACGAAAGAAAGAAAACAAATGTGTGCACTGTATACATGGCGTATGAGTGATGTTTTGAAAATTGTTCATAATCGCAAGGCGATCGGCGTTTTGTTATTACTTATTAATTGTTAGTTGTTAATGTTAATTAATTTATAAATAAACTCTATGGCTAGATCTATGACTGGAATGGATATGTACCTGGGTGGCATTGTGCCCATCATTTTGTTGGCTTTTCTTTTGGACTCCTTCGGTAAATAGTATTCTTTTTTAGAGTCTTTATACTATAATTATATCTCTAGTTGCTTTCTCTTCAACTTTGTTAGCGCTTTTCTCGCTCTTTTCTTTTTCTCTTAACTTTTCTTTGCTTTTCGAGGGGGGTTTGGTGAATGTCGTATGTGGCCGCGGTTGAGTTATTGGGATTTACATATGATATTTGTTTTTCGTTTGATTTTGTCGGGAAGGCTGCGCAACAAAAACAACACAACACAAAGGCCCTCAATGAATAATTGACAGTCTAAGGACACACGCAGGACACTTAACTGAACATAACTTGCGCAAATCTGTGTGGAAGGAGAACATTAAACAAATACATTGCATATTTGCTAGTTGTAATTTATATGGTATATATAATATTTCACAAACCACAAAATAAACTAAAAAAGAAGGGAAATTAAAGTGGATCCGCAGTAATGGCAGTAATAGCACACCATATGTACACAAATTAAAATTGTAATTAAAATTAATTTACGGCAAAACTAAAAATATATATCGTTTTCGTTATTTGTTTAATAAATTAAATAAACATGGCGCACACAAATAATTGCTGTTTATTTGTCTAACTGAAAGCGGATATTTATGGCCAACAACAAACATCCTCCCTCTGGTCGCGCGCCTGCAAATTAATGACTCGTAATGAGGCTTTAGCGAGTCCATTACGAGTCCTCACTTTAGGCAGCGGATCAGCGGGTCAAAAGTGTGTTTTTTGGCCTTGTTAACAAGTAGATATATTTTGTAGATATACAAAATTCCGCAAATGGAATCAAACTGACAGAATTCTACGTACTCGAGCAGCAATTGGCGCAGTGTGGCCTCGTCCTCGCCATGACATCTCAATCTAGACTCGCGATCTCGATCATCTCGACTCGAGTGGCGTTGCCTTTTGGGGGCGTAGCTGAAGGAGTGACGATAGAACCTTCCGTTGTTTATGTTAGCTCCGCGATAGGCGTCTATATTATATTCAATTTATTATTGTATTAAAATTAAGGGAAAAGATTATTATATCCGAGATCTAAGATACTGATTAAGAGGCCTATATGAGTACTATACATAGAATGCTTTTTGTTATACAAATTAAACTCATATAGTATTCTTCGAAAGACCAATATAAAAACAAGATGAGTAACGGCTTACAAGTTTCTGCTGCAGCCTCTAGAATTGGATACAGAGAGTCTAATTGCTTCAGAGTCAGCACTTCCTTTTCTGGTTCTGTACTCGTTATGCATCTTGTTACTAAAGAGTCTTTGGTTTCGCTATAATGAACTGTACCCACCTTCGGGTCGCAAACGCACAGGCGGTGAGGTCAGCTTGAGTTGTGTTGACGTTGTTGTGGGCGGAGTCTTACGTCGACCACCAAAAACATAATCGTAGGAATCTTCGCTCAAATTGGACACTGCCATGGGGCATGAGGAAAATTCAGAATATATGACCGTTTAGTTTTAGTTTTTCAATGCAAAAAAACACTCTTTCAGAGCAAATACATACACAAAAAAAGGCACAAACTAAATTGGAAATTATAAACAAAATTCGTAATCACACAAGCTTTTGTTTTTACTTTTCTTTTCTTTTTTTTCTCGTATACTCACTCTACACATTATGGATACGTAAATATTGTTTAAAATAAGACAAACATTAAAATAAATGTTAAAACGAACGCAAATATTTAGATTGTCGAGATTTTGTCATTTTCATTAGATAATTGTTGTTATTGTAGTTCGTAGTTGTTGTTGTTGTTGTTGTAGTTGGTTGAAAAAATACAGAGAGAGAGAGAGGGAGAGAGCACAAAATGTTGCAGTTTGTTAGCATTGGGTTTTTTGGTTTTTCACTCCATTTTCATTTTCGATTTGCGATTTTCATTTTGGACAGCACAAAAGGTAGCTAAAGGTGAATGATACACACAGGTAAAAATTGTTGCGTTCACAAAAATCTCAACAAAGCAGCGAGCTGTCGCAATATTTTATTTTGTTGCTCTAATAAACAATTTCAAAAATGAACACACACAAAGATAGAGAGAGACAGAGAACGGCAGGAGCAAATAGCTACTTGAAAATTTCGAAACTTTGAAATGTTTTGGTTTTTGGATTTTGTTTTTAAATGGTATTTTGTTTCGAGTGGCGGCAACACAAACGAAAATTGTTATTTCATATAGTCAAAAAGTGGCAATACAAACGGCAAGCAAATAGAACTAGACAAATAGAGAGAGTTTGGAGAAAAGTAGAGAGTTTCGTGTGTGTACACGCAAAGAAATAAGTCAATGAAAATGAATACTTGTCTTGGGAATGATTTGTTCTTGATATACATCAAAAATTAAACTAATTTGTCTTATTCTCAAAGAAGTCTTTAAAAGGATTTAAGATAGCTTGAAAAAGGATCCAAAGGATGCCATAATATACTTTATTACACTATTTTTATAATGAAAGCATATATTTTTATCAGGTATTCAAAATATCCTTTGGAATTTCATATTAAAATGTATCTATAGATTTAAAATCATTAAAAATAAACAGAATATATAAATATCTTTCCATATATGTATGTATGTACATTCCGTTTTAATTATTAAAACTAACTTTAATACATCTATTTTTTGAGTCAAGTTTGATATTCACCTTTCAAGAACAAAATCACTCTCTTCAATCAAGAATTTCCTTTCTCAACTATTTCTTTTCTCGGTGTTTTTATTCTAATGGGTGGGAAAAATGGGAGAGCAACAATAAATTAATGGACGACTGTTTGACTGATTGTTTTTTGAGATTTGACTGATTGATTGATTGACTGAAAATGCTGCTGCTGAAAATGCTAAACAAAAGTTTGCTGGGACAAAATGTGATTCTCTGTGGTGATGTTCCGTGTGTGTGTTGGCTAGTGGTGAGTTTCGTACAGGTACAGTTCCTGCACAGGTGTAGTAGTACAGGTGTGAGTTATGAGTGTGTGAGTGTGTGTGTGTGATGCAGGCGCATTCTTTTTTCTTTATTTTGCTAGTATGTGAAAAGGAAATCAAACAAATAAACAAAAGCGACCAATCAAAGAACCCAATCTACACACCAATTAAAGTTGCAATCAATTGGAAATGGCACAACACAAGAACAGAAGAAAATCAGGATTTTTACTAAAAAACAAAAACAAAAAGGTGCAACACAGTAACACGGCAGCAAACTTTTTTAATGGGCCAAAAAAGCTATACAAAAAGTCTGGCAAACTATAAAAAAAGAAACCAGAATTAAATGGAAACAAAAGAAGAAAGAACTGCAGGCAAACAACGAGAAGAACAAAATACAACTTGGCACACACATATATATATGTGTATATATATAGTGTGTGTGTGGAAAATAATTCAAATTCGCAGGATAATTATTTGAAGGAGCACCTGGAAACACGCTCAGCGGCTGAAGCACTTGGGTGGAACGCAATGGCGGTGGTAGCGGTGGCAGCTGTCCAAACGGATCTTGATCGTTCGAAATGGAAGACGTGGGCGGTGAGATCATCGATATGTCACCAATGGTCGCCATGTCATTACTCTGGCCAGCTGCATTCCAAAAAAGTAATAACAAAACGATTGATATAAAAGAAGGAGATTTCAAGTGATTAGAATTGATTCAACATTATTTTTGAGAATAAGAAATGTGATATAAATTGGAAATCATTTAGGTTCATCATAGATTAAGTCATATATTTTCCATTTTACATTTATTTTATACTTTCTCTATATGATATAGATAGAATAGAATAGAATAGAATTTCCTCAAATGTACCTACATTCCCAAAAATTCGTTGGAATTGATTAAACATATTTTTGAGAAAAAGAAATTTTATATATATTAGAAATCATTAAAGTTTATCACAGTTTATGATATATATTTTCCATTTTACATTTATTTTATACTTTTTCTATATGATATTTCAATAGAATTTCCTCAAATGTACCTGCATTCCCAGAAATTCGTTGGAATTGATTAAACATATTTTTGATAATAAGAAATCTCCTATAAATTGGAAATCATTTATGTTTATCACAGTTTAAGGCATATATTTACCATTTCTCCTTCATTTTTCCCTTTCTCTATATGAAATTGCAATATATTTTCCCGAATTTTCTCAAGTGTACCTGCATTCCCAAAAATTTGTTGGAATTGATTAAAAATATTAAAAAAAAAAAACAAGAAATGTGATATATACTGAAAATCATTTATGTTTATCACAGTTTAAGGCATATATATTCCATTTCTCATTTATTTTTCACTTTCTCTATATGAAATTGCAATATAATTTCCCGAATTTCCTCAAGTGTACCTGCATTTCCCAGAAATTCGTTGGAATTGGTAGTGGAGCATGCAAAGGCTTTTAATTTTGTCCCGCACGTGGCCACAGTTGGCCACAAACAACAGAAAAAAAAGAAGGGGTGAAAAAAAAAGGAAAATCACAAGGAAAAGCTAAAGGCGAAGGAAAAGGAAACGCCAGAGAAAAGCGCCATGGTAACGCAAAGTAAAAGGTGTGCGGCGCCATATTTCGCACATAAATTGTATGCCAGCTCCGGATCCGGGTCCGGTTAAAAGTCCGGATTGTGGGTATATGAGGAAAAAAGGAGTAAAGGGGTTTTAAGGGTACAAGGGGTACAAGGATACAAGGGTTTAAGGGTAAGGAGACCAAAAGGCAGCTGCACGAGATGGCGTCGCATGCATGGTTGCATACGCAAAGCATTTACGCCAACGCCTCGCCAGTCATGGACTCCGGAGAAAAGCGGAAAAGCGGAGGTCTAAAGATTCTCAGTGCCTGAGAAATGGTGGAGCACATACACATAACATACTATACATATTTATACATTATATGTAGCCACATATGTGGGTGGGGAGTCGGTGGCTTTGGCCAAGCTGCGTGCCTCTGCATAAAATAGATTTCCATTTTGATTCGCTGGCAAAGGAAAAGGCGAAAAAAAATGCCTGAGAATCTTGCGGTGTGTAAAGATATATCCTGGTTACCTTTTATATACAGAGTACCTCTTTTTTATCAAGGAAAAATTAAAAGCATTGGGACTATGCATATTCTGCAGGGCTATAAATCCAATGATGCAATTATGGAAAATAAAGATGAAGAGGGGAAGATATTTCTACGGGAACTTCATAGGTTTTCTATAAATATTTAAGCATAGTTCTAGACTTTAAAACTTGTTTATTTATATGTGAAATGCATCTTATTTTTTGCATTTTAAACATAAACTTGCAAGTTAAACTCTAGAACTTGCACATATTGCAGGATTTCCCCTGAAAAATAGATCAATCACTGCTGCAAAGCATAGAATATGCCATGGGAAACCCTACAGACAGTTTTCCCTCCCATTTCCATAGTGCATGATTTTTTGCTCCTTCAATTTCCTATATTTCCTATATATTTTTTTTGCGCCTTACACATACCTCTCTATGTGTGTGTAAAACCTTTGCAGGACTTAAAAAATGCCTCGTTGGCTGCGATAAATGTGCCCATGGCTCCTCGTTGTTGTGGTTTTGCCTTAGGAGCAGCAAACCCCCCATACACACCCCCTCGACAAACACACACACTCACACACACACACTATGCACAACAACAACAGCAACACGTGCTGCTTTTTCTACGGTTCGGTATTTTGAATTTTTATTATTTGCAATTTGCGTTAATGTTGTGGAAAAAAGCATGTGGCTGTTATGGCTTTGGCTTTAGCTCATGTCCTTCGTGTCCTTTTCCCCCTCTCTTTTTCTTGGCATATTGAATGGCCATTTGTGTCACACACACACACACTTGTACTATAGTTGTATGTGTAAGGGAAAAAAGAGAGAGAGAGAGAGAGAGAGAGAGAGGGGCACACGCACACACTAATGACCTTTTCATGGCCGCTTCCATCCAGCGGATGAATGCAAGAAATGTGGGCAAATTATGGGCCTGACAGAGGATCCTCTTTTGCCTCCTTTATCGTCCTTTTTCCCCGCATATCCATATCCCCATAGTCGTCGTCGTCGTCGTCGTAGTCGTTATTGACAAAATGATTTGTAAACATTTTGCGCATCATTAGTTGACGCTGCTCGAAAGATATGGCCTGCATTTCCCCCCCATTCTGCCATTTAACCGATTAAAATCGTGCATGCATCACATTTCCCAGGGGGAAAGCGGAATGGTTTTCCAGGAAAAACACCAAGGAAAAAGTGGTATCTATATTCATATTTTGTAAATATGAAATTGCCTTCTTGTTCGGGTTTGTATGGAATTGATTATTAACATGAAGAGTTTGTTTTTAAACTATTTTAAGAGTTTAAGTTTACTTTTTGTGTGGAATAGTAAATCTAACAAGAAATGAAGCTAACTTCGGCACGCCGAAGTTTGTATACCCTTTGCAGATTGAAATTTAATCACTAGGAATTAATACAATAAAAATTATATATATTTATGTTAAAAAACAACAAAGTAATGCCTGCTCTCATTTCATTCACCTTTACATTTTATATTTCCAATGAGACAACGCTTCTCAAAAAACTAAATTGTGTTTGCCTCTCATTTACTCTCTCTCAAATATAATACTTTCTTCGCTTTCACTCTCTCTCAAAAAGTGCCCTCCTCTGCGATTCTCAACCGGTGTACTTAAGCACCGTAGCAAACGCAATTATTTTTCTTCTTCTTCTTGTTCAGTTTAAAGTTTTTAATTAAATTTGAGTTTAAATATGTTATATTTTTGATCAATTTTAGGGACTTATCACATTTGTTTACCAACTCAAATTCTCATTCTTCAAAAAAAAAAAAAACAATAAGACCTTCCCTACGCTTCTCAAAAACCAAATTGTGTTCGCCCCTCTTTTACTCTCTCTCTTAAAAATAATACTTTCCTCGCATTCACTGTCTCTCAAAAAAGTGCCCTCCTCTGCGATTCTCAACCGGTGTACTTAAGCACCGTAGCAAACACAATTATTTTGGTTCTTCTTCTTGTTCAGTTTAAAGTTTCTAATTAAATTTGAGTTTAAATTAAACCTTTGCCTATTATAAAATCTGTGTTAAATCAAAGTTTTGTACGACAATTCCTACTAACAACATTCCGCAAAAATAGATGGTACTCCACCAAGCCTGCAAAGAGAGTGTAAGTACCAACAAAAACAACGACGGACATTTACAAATTTCAGTTCATCATAAAAAAAATTCGATCACTAGGAATTAATACAATATAAATATATATATGTTTATTAGTGTTTGAAGTTAGTAACTGATCATACATATGTATTGGTCATAGATTCTTAGTGATCCTTGATATTTACTAATCATAGTTACTTAATGTTCATAGGAACTTACTGTTGACAGATGCTTACTGATCCTTTTCATTTAAATTGTAGAGTATAATAAAATGGCTTTATCTCAAATTTGGTCAAATTCTGTTGAAAACTGAAAATGTTAAAATTTTTTTTGTAAAACTTTTCCGATCATTCCTATGACAGCTATATGATATAGTCGTCCGATCCGGCCCGTTCCGACATATATACGAGTGAGAGTATATAGAAGGCTAACTACAAAGTTTCATTCAGATAGCTTCAAAACTGAGAGACTAGTTTGCGTAGAAACGGACAGACGGACAGAAGGACAGACGGACATGGCTAGATCGACTCGGCTGTTGATCCTTATCAAGAATATATATACTTTATAATGTTGGAGATGCCTCTTTCACTGCGTTGCAAACTTCTGACTGAAATTATAATACCCTGCAAGGGTATAAAAATTGTATAAGGTATATAAATGGTAAATTTCTAATGAAAATGTTCCAATAATTATCTAAAGATTAATATTAATTTGATGCTTAATTGCTTATTTCTGAAGGACTTTTAGGCTCTCCAAGTAAAACCTTCAAGTCTGTCTCTATTTCCTATAAACATCATGACTTGTTTTTAGTTGTTTTTCTTTCTCTGCTTAACCCCTTTGCACCTGCTTAATGTTAAACTCTTTGCTGACACCGCAAAAAGAGGCAAAAATAAAAAGATAAACCGCTTCCGGCTTCAATTGCATCAATGGAATGGAATGAAATGGAATGGCGAGTTGCCTTGAGAAGGGGGAAAAAAAGGGGTAAGGGTCGAGAGGGAGGGTTGGGAGGCTCAAGGCAAATATTTGCTTAAATTTGTGCTGAGGTTAAGCCTTTTGTGTGTGTGTGTTTGCCTTCAGAGGCTCCTCTTCTCTCTACAAAGAGTTGATGACATCCAGTGGCCTCCGCCGCAGTCTGGGGCAGTTGCATCCGCTTCGGTTCGCCTGTCCCCTGACATAGAAAAATAGTTGCGGGGAATGGCTGAGAAATACTAGGGAATATATATGGGGGTATAGAAGTGAAGGGCCGAGCTGCGTTTTGACTGCATGCCAAGGCTGATACTCCGCTGGCGATGCTGATGACGCAAGCAGTCAACCACACGGATGTTATTCATGTGTGTGTGTGTGTGTGTGCAAAGGAGCCTTGCACAGACAGAAAAAATATATATATGTATATATCACAAAAATCGTACACACATAACCTGCTGGTCCAAAACTTTATATAGCCAATCAAGATGGAAGCTGATAAAGTCAGAAAGCCAAAACTTATTAGCCAGAGATCTTTGGGGAAGTCGTAAAAACAACAACTTTAAGATGGCCAAATGTGGCTCTTTCCCTCTCAAAAAAACAAATCATTTTCTAAAGACAATAAAAAAGCAGAAAAGAAAACTAATTTTGGGAAGCTGAAGCTTAAATAAAATATCCTTGCAGATTGCAAATAAATTATAGGATTGAATAAGAAATCTATCATAACTAAGCTTCAAATATTCGCATTCTTTGAATCGATATTTATCGATTGTTTTATAAGAAATTTTTTTCAAAAAAGTAAATTTTAAAACACTCATAACTAGGCCAAAAAAGCATCAATTTCAATTCGGAAAGTTGTCCCATGCTAGTTTTTACTAGCTTAACAAATCTGCATACTTTATTTAAAATTAAAAAAATTTCAAATTTTTATCAGTTTTTGAAAATGTAAACCCTTAAAAAACCCCTTAAAAAATTTACAAAAATTTGAACATTTTTATTTTTGTTCTAAGTTAACCAGATCGATTCGCCAGTTGATGCTGATCAAGAATATATATGATGTATGGGGTCAGAAATGATTTTTTCGATGAGTTTTAAGCCTCTGATCAAAAAGATAGTACCCTACAAGGATATAAAAATTAGAAAACAAAACAATGTTAATTCTCTTAAGTTTCTTCCATAAAAGAGCGAGATTTTATTGTTTAGTTAGAATTTTTATTAGCTAAAGCATATAAGCCCCTTAAAATGTTGTCTAAAACTGTGTTTTGAAATTTTTAATGTTCTAAATTCGGTGTAAGTTTGTTTCACAACATAACATTTTGTAGCAAAAGCATTTTAAGTTCTTAAAATACAGCAAATATCTTACAATATTATTTTTTCCTTTGTATTTCTTAAATTCCTGTCAACTACCAATTTCCTCTGCTCTTTTTATATTTTTGGTTCGCTTTCACCAATACAAGTATGCAATAACCAATCAAATCTATTTTTATTTGCTCAATTTTCTCATTGTGCAAAAAACTTTGAGGCCTCTGGCCATTGACAAAAAGTTGCCTGCAGTCCCCAAACTGTTCAGTTTTGGCCTGGTCTTTTCTGTGCTGTGCTGTTCTGGCAGTTGTGACAAGTGGCCTCCAACTGGGCGAGAAGGACGAGTGGCTGCAGCTCTCCTCCCTGCGGGAGTAATCGGGCATTACGCAATCCTTTGCGGCATACTTCTAGGCTGGCCACGATAATTGATACCCTTTGTTGTCCTTTAGGAAGTCGCCACTTGACGGCAAATCAAATTAGCGAACAGAATTGAAAACTTATTTATGCATGAGAGGCCGCTAATCAGGTTTTTGAAGAGAGACAGACAGAGAGAGAGGAGTAATTTAAAATTCAATTAACTAGACGCACAAACTGAAAGGGTTTCCCTGCGAAAATCAATCCGTTCCCTCTCCAATCCTCTCCCCATCGAAATAGATAGATGTAATACTCACTATTCAAAATCATACTCATGTACGCATTGAATGCAAGCTGAGCCGTTGATAAAAAGCCTTTTAACTCGGCTACAGCTTCTTCGAAGGGGGCTTTTGTCTTAAACGGTTTGTCAACTAAATGCATGATTGATTAAATGAAATAAAAGCTACACACACACACACGTACGCACACCTGCCACCGCAGATAGAATGCAGGATATTCCAGCATGTGTGTATATGTTCATTAATAGGCTTTTGTCTTTGCTCACCGCAAAAATTATTGCTGCTCAAATGCACTTGAATGTGGCATTGTTTTGGTCCTCATGCCGAGGGTAAGAGGCAGGCAGGCAGCATGCACTTCAGACCGCAAAATCCTTAAATGCTGCATTAATGACCACCCACACAATGACCTCACTTGTACAGGAGCTCTGTGTTGGTCCATCGCCTGCTCCTTCGATGATATCACAAATTAAATACAGTTGCACGTTAGCTTAACTCGAAATTCAACAAATATTGAGAGGCAAGGCGACGAAGGGGGCGTGGCAGGCATCTGCAGGACTCTGGATTGCTGTGTAAGCACGTGTCTGGGTCGAGCACTTGACAATCAGCACTCACAACAGCCCGGCAGGACAGGACGAAAAGGCAATGGCAGGACGACAAAGGATGCCAAATTCGAACAGTGGAGCCCAACAGATATACAAAACTTGAATTAAATCAGTTGAATGCAAAAGCAACATGTAATAATTAAGTTAATGAATATATTAAAATATATATATTCAAGGGTTAAAGGATTCTTAAAGTCCTGCATCAGTAATAATATCTAAATTCGATAGTCACTTCCACTGTGCCACCAGCTGGTCTGAGGGCTTGTCTTGGCTGTGTTTGGCTTTTGGGATGCCGCCATTGTCATAGCTTGTTGCTATTCCCCCGCATGCTTTTGGTCCTGAAATCGACGGGGAATATTGACAGTGCGGGCAGCTGTTAATACAACGCAAACTCTACATTTTCGGCTATATCCTATATCCTCCATCCTGCCGTTGGTTGTTCGTTATTCTTGCCAGAGTTTGCACGTATTATCGCATGTGTTTATTTGTCAACACACACCGCTTCGTTGCTCCAAGCCGTCGCATTATGCTTTTACCACCAAAAAAAAAAAAAATGTATTTATCGCACTTTAAAAGGCATAACATAACTGTTGCAGCCAGCACACATGGCGTATGATTAATTTCACCGCCTGCAATCCATCAGTTTTTTTTTTGGGTAGAACATGTACTATATACCAACCGCTTCATGCGGCAGTTTAACCATAACGATCTGACATTTTTCACATTATTAAAATCACTTGCGAACAAAGAGTGATGAGCGCAGGAAAAAGTTTAATGTGAAAAATATCACGTATACGCAGTGTATGGCACGTTAAAAATAATGTTCCGCATAAGTGCAAAACATTTCCTTATAATTTTTACTACTCTATCGAGACATGATGATGTATTGGGGGACTGCATCAAGGATAAGTAAAAATAAACAGTGAAAGACTTACCGGTGCACATAGGAAAGCCATTTCGTTGCCAGTCCCCCGGTGTAAAATGCGAATTATCCTGCGTTCCTTTGGATGCTGCTGACTAAAGAACTTTTGGATTCGAATTTGGTTTCAAAATCCTCCGCAGTCAAATCCAATCTTTGGACCAACGTGTCGTCTTAGCTTCCACTTTTCTTCTCCTTCCACTCGCTTCACTTTATTCACTTTTCTTTTTCTGGCAGTTTGCAAATAGATATAAAAACTAGAGACGCACTGCTAGAAAATATGCATTTTTAATGCCATAAATTAGTTTTGCCGGGTAGCTGCAAAAAGAGAGAGAAAATAAAGCAAAGTGTCAGAAGTGCTGGAATGAAACAAGCTCAACTCTGCAGAGTGCCTGCAGCTATTTTTATGGCGAAGTTTACCCCTAAAAAGAGGTTTATATATAAATTTTGAGCTCTAATCGCCAGATTCCATTAGCGTACCAGCTTTAGTTTAAAGCTTGCAGTTACTATATAGAATAATGCTGAAAAGTTTATAAAATACAGGTACTTTTAAGCAAGAGAAACTAAATAAATTGATGATGATTTAACAAAGAAAGTGTTTAAGAAAATATAAAGTAAGGAGAGTCCATGCTAGAGGTAATCCTTATTCTATAAAGTCTTGAAAACATTACCTCAACTTCTCTACTATATTATAATATATTATTTATTACTTTAACCCAAATAAAAGTACTTTTTAAAGCTTTGTTTCCGTATAGTTTAAAGCATAATTAAGTGTTGTGCAAACTCGACACTTAACACTCTGGTTTAAAAGATTTTCACCAAATTAATTTGCACTTTTCATTGCTGGCTTTAAGCAAACTCACTGCCAGAAAACCCAGTCACCGAAATCACATAACCGCATTGAAATTAATGCTGTCAGCACGTCAGGTGGAGGGGCTACATCCTACATCCTCAATCCTTTTTTTCCCACAGGTATATGGCGACGGCGGCTGCCAACTGGCAAAAGTCAAATTAAATTCTATTTTTAGGCGCCCAAAATGTTGGCAAACCCTTTCTATCCCCAACCCCTCCCCACTTTTGCTTTGCAGGTTTGTTAATTACTCCATGAATTTGATAGTTTTCCATCAGTGTGGATCACACACGGGGTCTGAAGCTGATGCTGACGCTGACGATGATGATTATGTGGAAAATGAATATGCAAATGGGAGGGAAAACCGTACGAGTGTATATATATAGAAGAGAGAGAGTGAGCTCTCGAGTGTATCAAATTCGGGGGTTGTGGCCCCACAGTTATGGATACCAATTAGAATCTGGTTATCTGACATCGGCACAGCGGTACAGCGATGATTTCGGTATGAATCCCGCAAGCGTGGCACGAACTGAACAAGGAAAATCTCTTGCAACCGAAATGAGCTGGAAAATTCAAGGGGGGGACAGAGAAAGCTGCCAGCGATGAATGTGAATGCACTGGGGGAAAATGGTAGGGATAGTAAATGCTTCTAGTTGCTTTAAAAATTGTTCAAAATATATACTGTCACACAAATACATTTTACTTTATCTCTAAGTTCCCTAAACTTTATCTTTGTTGTAGTTTCCCATTTTTTTTTGCTGTGTGGAAATTGTAGTTTTCCCTCTTTCAGTGTTGGCTCTGCATCTGGGCTAATGATGCGCATGATGTGGCGGCATTGTCCTCGTCTTTATCCCTTTAGCTGCCACGCCCATTTGCAAGGCCCATCAACTTTACTTCATCTGGATCTGCTGCTGCCTCTGCAGCTTCATCTGCAGCACTGCATTTGCTTTATCCTTAAGCGAGTCCTGGCATCCTGGCATCCCCTGATGAAGGCTGACTTGACTTAGCTTGGATAGCCTCCAACTGTGCGCTGCACTGCATGAAATTAATATTAATCGCAGCAATGCATTAAAGCCGCTTTTAGCTTCTAGATTTTCCTGCCGCCAGGATTTCCACACACACACACACACACACACACTAACACTAATACAAAGCCGCCGCTGCTGCTGCTGCCTCAGCTCGGTTTCTTTTGTTGCAATGTGTTTATTGTGAATTTTATTTATTACTTTGCGGTCGTGGCGGTTATTAAAATTGCCACTGGCAATTTGTAATCATTAGGCATTTTCATGCTATCTCTCTCTTTGACTTTATGCTCCCTCTCTTTCTTCCCTCTTTGTCTAGCCCTCTCTGTCTTTTAATGGTTTTGCTTTGCATAGTTTTTGGGCGCCCATTTGACAGGCGGCTGACAAAAGTCAGTGACATTTTAACCAAACTAATACCCATGCACTTATGCAAATCTCACACAGACACTGCAGCCTCCAAGGGAAAGAGATGGGTAGAGAGAGAGGGAGAGAGAGAGAGGAGAGGGAGAAAGAGAGGGAGTGAGTGGGTAAGGGAGACAGATGCGATGCTGGCACTGCCATTTGCACATTTAACGTCCTAGTCCTTGTTCTCGTCCTCATCATCCTTCCCTTGGCTTTGCTCTTTGTCTTTCTCCCACCTCTAGTTTTAGCTCCATATTTCCCCATCTCTCTCTCTCTCCCTCCCTCTCTCTCTCGCACTCTCTCTTTCTCTAGTTGTCGTGGCAAAATTTAAGTGGCCACTTGACTAAATTAATATGACACTGCAGCAAGTGCAAGTGGCCAGGACTTGTCCTTTTTCCCACCCACTCTCCACTATCTGCTGCTGGTCTGTGTTCTCCTACTCCTTCCAACATTCGCTTAACAATATGAATAATTATGACGAAACTATGGTTACCTGATTTGCACACAGGCCAAAAAAATATTAAACAATTTAATGTTTTAGAGTCCTTTAGGTTCATTAAAATTAACTGTGTTTAGTAAAGATTATTACTGATAACTTAAAAGGTTGGTTTCATTCATAATTTACTAAGTCCAGCTACCAAATATGGAACAAAATAAATGACCTTTTCTATTCTAAACATCACAGTAACATAATATAAAAGAGATTGTGTCATTTAAATATTTATTCACTATTTTCACTATTTCCAGTGCATTTATCCAATAACCCATCAATAGAAATTAGCAAGATGCATAGCTTACACAACCTTTTGAGGAATTTTGCACCCAATAATTTACCAAGAGATTTTCCAAGCCCCAGCTGGAAGGTATTCATCAACACAGGTGACACCCAACGTCTTCTTCTGTCAATTGCCTAAATGCAATTTAATTTTCCACCTGATGATGTCCTCTATGTAAGGCCTTTGCACTTATGTGTCCTTCCACAGGAAAATAAAGTAACAACCACAACAAATACAGCAGCCGAAGAAACTGAGAAAATCCCAGCTGGATTGTCGCCGTTGCAAACTCTTCTTTCTTTCTATTTTTTTTTTGTTGTGTCGCCGCACAGCCTGCGTCCTTCGCTTTTCGTCCTTTTACCACCCACTAGGAAAGCCTCCATTCAAGTTCCTGTCCTGTATCCCAGTCTCTAACCTCTTCCCTGTCCACATCTCGGTGTCACACTTGGCTCGCAGTTTTGTGGCCAGGCCAGGGCTATGAAAATAACCATAAGGCAATTGCCCGGGCGGGTTACAGTCCTTGGTCCTTCGTCCTCCTCGTCCCCTGTTTACTGTCTCCCGTTCAGGAACCCCACCGCCCTGTGGTGGCACTCATAAGCCTTGAATGGTAAATGTCAAAGTTACTCCTTAGCGTAACATTCGACACATCGGGCGTTGAGGTGTGAGTGAGTCCTTCCCCCCACTCCCCCCAAGTGTGTGTTTGTGTGTGTTGATATACACTCATATGTGCACTGAGGTAAAATCAAGGGTTGGGTTCCTTATAAAGGATATAGTAATTGAAGAGAAATGCATTAAATTGCATTAGAAATGTAAGAAATTAAATATTAATTGAATTTGTGTAAATTATTCCATCTTTACTTTATATATAATACTAATTTTATGCTAGTTTAGCGCAGTGCATAAGCTGGGCGAGGTCCTGTGCCCAGCCAGGATTACATTACACTAAGTTCTGTGCAAACACAGTTGGCGCAGTTCATTAACATGTTACATGGAGTTCAGTCGGTCTGGGGACTTGACTACACTCCGTTCCACTTTGGATCTAGGGATGTAGAATGTAGTACGATGAAGAATGTGGAAGGATGTGGGATATATGGTATGAGAATGAGGGATGCTGGGATGCTTCTGTTTGTCTGTGCAAATGTATGCGTAAGCACAATATGCCAGCCTATCTGGCTTTCTCAGTGCAGGAAAAGGGGGCCTGGGGGGGGGGGCAAGGATATACTCGTACATCCTTTATGCTTTCTTTTTCCCCGATGCGGAAGTGTTGCCCCCACAAGCTGCCTCCTTTGCCACTTGAAAATGGAGCAGCTCAAAGCGTTCCATTCCGAATGGTTATATACACACACACATGCTCCATGCCACACTCTCGAGTGTGTAGGTTTTAGTCTAAGCTGTGCATTTAAATGTGAGGCATTAATAATTAACAGAACCGAGCTTTGCGAATGCAGCTTCCAAGTGGAGGAAAGGCTCTTCCCCTAATTAGGCGGCTTTCTCGGGGAGAGTGGACCACTGATCATCATCATCATCATCATCATCAGCTGTATTCTCTAGTTAATTTGCAGTTTTAATACGTTTTCCACTTGTGGCCAGTTAGGAGACTGGGATAAACTTTTAACCGAAATAAGGCAGCCCAAAATTTCATTTTGCACAGCCTGCAGGCGAAACGTCCTGAACCCTGAACCCTGAACCCGCCGCCTTTTCTAACCTCTTCCCTGGGGGCACTTGCAACCAGCAGCCGTTGCATACTTTGCGGCACAAACAAAACCAATCCCCACAACAGCCGCAAAGCAGCCACGCCCCCCTCCCGCACCATAGAAATGTGTGTGTATATGTGTATGTGTTGCACGTCAATGAGTCCCGAAACAAAACCCCAAAAACAACTCATACACCCATAGGCACACACACAAAACTGAGCACCACACACTCAGACAAGGATATAAATGTACACGGGGAAAAATTATTGGAAAATAGCCCTTAAGAAAGCTTGAAAAATGTATTATTTTATTATAAAATCATTTCAGAATTATTTTTGAACACCTTTTGTATGGGTTTTGAACAAAAATGTCTTATTTTGTGGGCGCCAAGTTATCAAAAAAAAAATAAAATTTAAATAGGTTTCCTATACCAAAACAAAATATTGAAGGGTTTGTCATTAAAGTTCCTTATTCAAAACGTTAATTAAATTCATAAATGAAACATTTTCGTATCATAAGTATCCCCTTTTCAGGGTCAAAAATTGAATATATATAAAATAAATAATATATACCCCGA